GGGAAGGTTTATATGTATTGCTACCCCGAATCCCATTAATAGTAAAAAATGCGGTTCAACTTCAAAAGATTGGAGATTCCTGTACTTATGGCAATTAATAAATCCCGTGAACACGGACTAAATTAAGGACGTTAGTATTTTTATCTTACATTTTTCAGATTACAATAAATACGTTTTTTTTTAATTCTTGAATTAGTTTTTTAGAACCACTAAATATATATATATATATATATATATATATACATAGTTTCTTCCAATCATTGATTTTGAAAATATTTTGTTTTTATTTTTCAAAACAACAAATACATACACAAAATTGGCAGAAGTCGGGCACACTTAGAAAAAAATTTTAATCAGCTGGGAGTTCTACCTTACCTTTTTATTGGCCATATATCTGTTGACTATCAGAAATAGTGAAATAAATTGTCCGGTGAATATATAAGCATAGACTCATGAAACTATGGACGAAAAAATGCTCTGTGTTTATCTTCGAAAAAATTCGGATGAATTTTTAAAAATAAATGAAAATTAAGTAATGACATCGAAAAATACGGGAGTAATCAAGAGAAATTCTTGAAAAACGATGAAATGTGTTTTCGAAGTGGAGTGGGTCGACCGCGTTAATCAGCGTGTTGACTATGCAAAACATGATGAGAGTCACCTGGATAAAACGATAAAACTAACATTTTGTTGTCTATATTTTAACTAGTCTATGGGTAAACCATGGTAAAACTAAGAAGCTAAAGTCATTTCAAATAAGCATTCCCATCTCTGCATTTTCTGTAACTTACCTTGTCAAATTTAACTGCATAAAAACAGTTTCCCATCTCTGATTTGAATAATTTGGAAAAAATTTGTAATCATACGATCACTCTCAGAACAACGAAAAAATAAGTCCCATCCCTAACAAATGAGAGCATTTATCGAAAAAATAAATTATGACATTTAAAAATTAAAAATAGAAAAATTTGATGAAATTTTAAAAATTTTTGGGAAGGCTGAAAAGTATGAATGAAAACTACAATGTTGAATGGCGTATGTACATTCAAACGAAAGTAAATTTTGTTTTCTCTCTCATTCGAGGTACGCATTTGGTCCACGAGTTAAAATTTCTACAGAAAACTACAAACAAAAACGGCAATATTTTCAAAATATTTCTATCGGCAGAAAAAATGTTTGACAAGTGTCTCTCCAGCAGAATTTAAAAATGGAAAAAACACAAAAATATGTTCAAAATGTCCACATTTCCACAAACGTGAATGAAGATTGTAAAATTAATGATATAATAAATCTTTGGGAGAAAAACAATAATTTCTTCTATTCATATTAGTGAAAATTTCATGTATTTTCGTATAAATTCCTATTAAAATCAACAAACAAATTTTTGAAAAAAAAGAATTATTTTACTATGAATTACGAAACGTGCCGTATGAACGGGTTAATTCGTGTACCTAATTATGAGAGCGGACAACGTGATTGAAATTGCAATGAGAACATAGCGTAAGTCGAACAATCGACTATAAATAGTGGAGTACTCGGTTTTCACCCAAGTCCATAGTCGAGTTTGATAGCATTTGGAAAAACGATAGTAGCAGCTAGTTCCGCGCTCTTTAGTGAAGATGTTCAATTTTCTCATGTCTCATTCGTAAACAACAGAGTACCCCGAGTCTTTGCTTTCTGTTTATTTTTTTATCAGGTATTCCTTTGTGGCCTTCATATTCGCTTCGTTGGGACGTTTTTCATTTTTGTTTCCAACGCTCGCAACGAACTAGTTCCGGGCTCTTTTAGTGAAGATGTTCAATTTTCTCATGTCTCATTCATAAACAACAGAGTACCCCGAGTCTTTGCTTTCAGTTTATTTTTTTATCAAGTATTGCTTTTTGGTCTTTATATTCGCTTCGTTGGGACGTTTTTCATTTTTGTTTCCAACGCTCGCAACGAACTAGTTCCGGGCTATTTTAGTGAAGATGTTCAATTTTCTCATGTCTCATTCGTAAACGACAGAGTACCCGGGCGTTATGCATTACACTCATTCGTAAACAACAGAGTACCCCGAGTCTTTGCTTTCTGTTTATTTTTTATCAGTATTGCTTTTTGGCCTTTATATTCTTTATATTCTCTTCGTTGGGACGTGCTCCTTCAAACGACGTGCTCCAAGAAACGTATTGCTAAGCTAGAAAAAATTTCTTTTTTATAAATCCTTGAAGCTCTTAGGGTCACTCCTAATTTATAAAAAAGTTCTATATTTGTTTAAAGTTCTGTTGTGTTAATCCTTGATGAGATGGCACAGTCTATGTCAATGAAGCAAATTGGAGCGCGGCACATGAGTTGTGCCGTGGACATAATGGAATGGAGCAATAAAATGGATTTAATTGCTTACGGGACTGAAAAAGGTATATTCCATTCAAACAAAATTTCATATTTCATTGTCCACCCTTTGTAGGAGAAGTAATTATCCAGAGACTGAACTGGCAAAAGATAGTAACGTTTCCTTCACCTGGTGATGACATAAAAGTTAAGGGACTAAGTTGGCAACATGATGAAACAATAGTCGCAGTAGGTAGGTTCGCAACTTGGCTCATTCAGTTTAAATTGCAATATTCAGTTTTATTTTATTTTGAAAAGGGTACAGCAATGGCCAAGTTTCATTATTAGATGTTGAACGGGAAGAATGTGTTTCGAACCTGCGCTACGACGATGAAATAAAAAATATTTACTTTAGCAAACCTATTAATGCATCAGACTACCGTCAACCTTATCGAAACAGTACAGAAGTATGAACTGTGATGGCTTCCCTTTTTTAGGAAGTAATGAATGCACTTTAATGTTTACAGGTAACGCACGATTTCTTCCTACCGGCCTTACCACATCTAAACAGCCTGGGAGTGTCATCAAAAGTTCAAGAACACAAATCTTTTTCTAAAGGAACACCCAGTTTCTTGGTTGTACTTTTGAAAAATGGTCAAGTTCATCTGTTGCTTTTAGGCGCATTAAAGGCGGGTTGTATTGATTTATCGAAGCATGTCCTTTTTCCTGAAGAACTAGAAGTCTATGATGTTCGACTCAGTGGAAATTTCGATGCGATTTACGCTTTGGTGCGTCATGGACAGGAGTTAAATGTGTTACACTTCCAGAATCCTGTTTTTAAGGAATATATGTCACCAATGATGAAACTAGCCCAGTACTGTGCTAACATATTGGAAACGAAGAAGTAAGCATACGGAATAAAAATAGGTTAAATTTTTGACTAAGGTTGAAATTGGCTTGTCCATAGCTACCTAAATAATAGCCTGCAATGCATGCTTGAAGCATGGGAGACTGTTCTCTTGGAAATGGATAATAAACTTACAAATTATGCCAACAAACAAATGGAGGGATTTCTGTCTGCCGATTTTATGGAACTACTAGTGTTTGGTTATGCTACCAATGAAATAGAAGAATTCCTAACACAGTAAGCATTTCATGAGTTGCCAGAAGCTATAACAGTTATTATTCTTCATTCATTTTTAGAGACCTGACGGAGAAGGGGGTAAAAAAACTTCAAAATTCTGTGGAACTTAGTTACTCTACTATACAAAGTCTGGTCTCTAAACCATTACAAATGGCCTCGATAAATATGTTTTATTTTTTGAATACAATTAAAGGTTTAGCGAGGATATCTCATTTTTTTGAAGTATATTTTAAACATATTTGAAATACACTATAGAAGAATAATTCTTAAGTCTTAATTTTCTTTGGAACAGCCTCTGTTGGTTCAAACATCTACTGAATCTGCCGTTCGTCAGTGTGGTGCATTCATAATGAAAATTTTGGAAACACAACAAGTAATTGATCAATCTGTTAGTGACATGAAACTTTTCTTCTCCTGGCTCTGTGTGGTTATCGTGCGTCTGCATCAACAGGACGTTGCAGAAGATATGGCCCAGTTATCAATGGAGGATACAATATATTTAGCCGAGTACTTAAATAGTTTTGAAGATAGTGTTGTCGAAAACAGTAAGTCGATTTGAAATGTCAGCGTTGAAACAATTGCAATTAAGTTTTTTTTCAGGTGATGGTACCGTAACAAAGCGCAAATTTAACCTGGAAAAAGTGGGTCAATATTTAGAGGATAAACCTTTGCAACAGGTTTTAAAGACAGATATCCATCACATGTGGCAAAAACTACTCGATGAACATGAATGTCTGAGTGATTCCATTTTAGTCTATCCGCACGAAAAGAATTTATCATTAATCCAACAGAGAGACAAACTGTTCGCTTCTATTGATAAAGTCTTCGAAAAGCCAAACGAGAGCATAAGTTTAGGATTTAAACTGGACGGAACTTTTGTATGTCGACAATTGAGTGGCACTCCGGAAGATAACTACGAATTTGTAAAAATGTCATATATTGCATGTGAAACCAAAAAACTTGACCTCGTAGCAATTACCGTTGGCAGGCAAGAGTGTTTAATTTTGGGATTCGATAACAATTTTACACAAATGCAAATGTTCCGTTTACAAAGTCTACCCGGACCTTTTACAAAAGGATTGTCGAATGGTTTGGACAGTTTATCATTTGCTGATTTACAGTTTTACAACGATGATGTTATCTCCCTGTTGCTTGTTAGCCGAAGTGAAGAAAAGTCACAAAGTTATTTTGTACAATTCCCATTGGACCAAGTCAAATCAAACAGTTCATTACATACGTTGCCTCAAGAACATTTGAACATTAGTGACTTTTCGGCAGTACATAGTATTTTTGATACAATTGACAGTAGTTGTTTCAAGGGAATGGATAGCCTTTGCACGCATCTCTCAGTTTCCGGCTGTCGAAAGGTTCGTTAAGCATCCTAGTAAAAATGTTTAATCAAAAAAGTCTTAATTTTTTCCATAGGTGGCTTCACTTCTATCGGATAATCGAAAGAAAATGATAATATTCGAAATGGAGATTGAAGATGATGATGATGAAATTGAAATGTCACAAAACTCGATGCTGGATATTAGTAAAGAATCAGCTGTTTCGTAATAATTTGTCCAATATTTATTTTCCTTTTGATAAAAATAAAAACATTACGTTGAGCATGTAATCCAATGCAGCACCAAATCCGTACACCTGTTTTTTTTTATTATAAATGTTGTCGCAGTTGTATTATAGATTGAAATGGTCTATTCATCCGTCTCAGCAGTGAGAAATTAAGCTAGTGGAAATAACTGAAGTGTTATGGTGGCGACAGTTGCTTAAACTAGTACTTAAGTAAAACAAAGAAGTAACTTAATTTTGTTCATACATGTATGCGTCGTCCGAGTCTTCGTCGCTTGATAAATCTCGCCTTCTTCGTTCTTTACGTTTATTTCTCTTTTTGCCTTTCCCCGAAAACTCTTCAGCTAAATCCTCGGCAGTGACGGGTGATGATATTTCTTCGAGCCTTTCCTCAGCTTTCGGTTTAGTCTGTTCTTTTTCTCCGTCAGCTACATCATTTTCTATTCCTGTTTCAGACTCCTCGGATTTTTTCTGTGACTTAACCAACTCACACAGGTATTTGTAGCGAACCAAACATTCCTCCTTTGTTTTGCCGGGAACACTATTGGCAATTTTTTGCCATCTGTCACTACCCACAGTTTTTCTATATTTTACAATAGCTGCCTCCAAAGCTTTTTGCTGATCCTGTGTCCAATTTGTTTCTGGTATCACAATGCTTTTGTCTTGTTTGGTTTTTTCTTTTTTGACTATTTGTTGTGTTTCCTGGATAATGGTTTCAGCGACACTTTCAGTCTGGCCGGGCAATCGATACCCATTCTCTTTCATTTTCGCTGCCATAAATGTAACTTCCTGCACAGTTCTATTCATTGCTTCACTAATAACAACCCATCGATTGCTCATACCGGCTGGGTATTTTTTCACCAAACGTATGAGTTCCGTCAAATCTTCATCAGTCCAAAAGCCGCCACTCAGTGTTGTCTAAAAATAATGAATAGAGCACAAATTACAAGGACGAAATTACTAAACTAAATTATATGATATGTATGTCGTAGTTATGTTGTCCATAGTAACAATTATTCTAACAATAAAAAAACAGCGAAAAACTCCTCTCTTTTTTGTCTAACATATCCAATTCGGTTAGATTGTTTAAACTATCAGATTTTTGGTGGTTCTGGAATAGGGTAGATATTAAACATTTTTGACCCTTAATGTCAACAAATCCGCTTGGCTGTTATATAAAATTAATTCCTTACAACCGGTAGTATTCCTGGATTACAAAACATTAACAATTAATGCCGGTGTGAATACATATTGCAGAACAAGAAACCTTATCGTGTTTTACACAATATTTTATCAGTTTGTCGACTACCTAACATAAGGGCAACTCACGTACTTTTTGTGTGACTGGTTTCACTGCATCATTTTCTGTCAACTCTCTTGCCTGTATTTGCGAGTAACCCTTTAATTCTTCGTCAGTTTTCTCAGGAGCCTTCATATTTTGTTTGCGTTTTCGTAAATTTTCTTTTTGCTCCTTTCGCAGACGGACTAACTCTTCAGCTTCCCTTTCCTGATCCTCCAATCGCTTCGCCTCCTCTATTTCCCTTTAAGTGAAGAATGCTATTAAAATGTAAATGATTGAAGTATAATCCATTCATCTCACTGTCTTCTTTTCTCTAGCGCCATCTCCTTTAATTCATTAGCTTTATTAAAGGCTCCCTTTATTGTCTTGGGCAAATTCCATACAAACAAAGGTATTTGTACCGGTAATGTGTTCTGAAATGTAAAAGGATGAATGACAAACGCTTTTTACTACTAATGAAAGACTCACCTTTAAAGAAGGCGCTGGAATCTCGTTCAATATTGTATCCATATCAATGCTTTTGTTCTTTTTTTGCAGCTTTTTAAGTTTTGAACCTAGTACCTGTTCTGCCGTATATCTCTTTTCCAAGTAAGCAGCCCATGCAAAAAGATATTGGCCAATTGTAATGATGAGGAATAGAATTCCGGCTCCCTCGTAAAGACCAATTTTGCGCATACGACGGTAATAATATAGGGCGGACTTCCAGTTGGGTAATCCATCCTTTAACACCTTGTCATATTTTTCACGCTTTGTTGGCTCCTTTAAGACTTCGTATATCGAAACCAAATTTCGGAATTGAATATTCGCATCTTCAGAAGGGTTTTTGTCAGGATGTAGCTGTATTGAAAGACCACGGAAAGCCCTCTTGATTTCTTGGCTGGACGCATTCTAAAATTTAAAGAAATAAGCAAGTGTTCATATCTATGGACATTAAATTTACCTACTTGACCGATACCCATAAACTCGTAGAAGTTTGTTTTTATTTCCTCAACTAAATCAAATATTTCCAGCTCCTCGGTATCCCATCCAAGGACACCAGTTAGGCACAGGAGGCTCAGAAGAAAAACGGTAGAATGTGCCTTCATTGTGTCTCAAAGAACCGAAACCGAGTGCAACGTCATAGGGACAGGTAAGGCGACTTCCGATTAATAAAATAATCGACTTTTAGTACTCAAAGTTCTGAAACTCGTACTCGACTATGGACTTGGGTGAAAACCGAGTACTCGACTATTCACCGAGTACTCGACCAATACCAAAATTGAAAATTTTGAATGAAAAATTATTCAATTTTGTAAAAATTGTGAGTAACAACCTCCGATTGGTGTCGTATAAAAATAAACTTATATATTTTTTTATTTTTAAACAAAAATCAAATCGTTGCATCTATATGTATTCTTTTTCCATGGGTCCCGATTACTACCAAATTAAATGTCAAAATGCACTATTGTGATTGAAACCACATGACAAAAGACTACGAATGTTTTTATTGGTCAATTATCACGGTTAATTCGGCACCCATGGGGATACCCATGCTATAAGAATGGAGGTTTCGAATTGAAGTACTAACACTGTACTAAAATCAAAAGGTTTTTTAAAAGTTATTCGTGATGGATTTAAAGCGTGATAGTGTGATTTCTTTATATTTTGCTGGAAAACCACCATCGTGAATAAATCTTTTGTGTCTCCTACCATCGCTCGTTACCGTGATACTGGTAGCGTAGCCCGACGTCAAGGAAGTGAACGGAAGAAAACAGCAACATCAGCAGAAATGGTTCGAAAAGTAAAGAAACGACTTGATCAAAACTCGCGTCGCAGTGGCCGAAAAGCTGAATATTCCATTCGGCAAAGAAAGAAAACAGACTCAAAAGATCTATAGAGTTGCTTCGCTTGGCCGAAAGTGGTGAACTGGCTAATTTGGTTTTCTCTAATGAGAAAACATCAGTTGTCCAGCAGTTTGAAAGCAAACAAAATGATCGTGTTTACTTTCCAAAGAGGTCAGCTGAAAATGTGCACCTTCGGTTGGTCACCAGAACTCAAGCGCCGGTCATGGTGATGGTGTGGGCCACCGTAACAGTCTGGAGGGTGTATTAAAGCCTTGGGCACGCAAAAATTTTGGCCGCAGAACTTGGACATTCCAACAAGACTCAGTACCATGGCACTCAGCACGCACCACCCAAGAATGGTCACAAAATGAGGTTCTTCGCTTTATTTCCAGTGCACAATGGCCACCAAAATCTCCGGATACCAATCCGTTGTACTATTGTGTGAATTTTGGAAAGCAAGGTTGGCACTAAAAAGTACCAAAGTATCGATCACCTCAAGGAAATGCTTCGCCGGGAATGGGCCAAAATACCGCAGAGCAACTTTCGGGAAACGTGTGACGGTTTCATTGGCCGTTTAAAGGCCATAATTCGTGCCAAAGGTGACCAATTCGAACAAATTTAAACTTATTCTAAAATTTGATGCTTTTTCCGACATTTTTTGCAGATTTGTGTTGGTTACTATCGAAGGTGTTAAAGACTTGCATCAATAGACACATGCATATGTTAAAAACTAAGAATGTTTCCTTCAACCGATTTATTTTTAAATTATACAAAAAATATGCCACTCGTTTAGAGTCAATAGTTACAGAACTAATTTTAAATATTAATTAAAAATGATAGACGATTTCTTATTAAAAAAATGTTGCCATTACTAATTTGTTATATGAGACCAATTTTTTAATTCTTCCACGATTCTCACTAAACTTGTAATATGGACTTAACTTTTTTTAGTGCACGTTTGTGAGTTGATTAACGTTCATGTCCACAACACGATTATATTCCTTAGCGTTGTCAACACTGCGTAGCATTGTTTTTCTCTTCTTGCAGTGCTGTCTCTAGCCTTTGACATGGCAATGCCATCGCTGTAATTTCATCTCCTTTCTCTGAAAATGAAAAGAACAAAGAAAGAAAGGAGAGAAATCAAATATTGCTTTAGTCATTGTGTGTGAGACAACGAAGAAAAACTTTTTTACGATTATTCAATAAAAATATCCTAACTCAAAATTCGTGTTATTAGATTTGCGAACAATAACGACTGAAATAAAAAAATGTGAAAATAGCAAAATTGAAATTCGTTATTCACTATATCGACAATACAATTGCGTATGCTTGCAATTTTGCGACAAGGTGGTGGTTGTGCCTTCGATGGACATTAATATATCTATATATCAAAAAATGTTTGTTTTCAAAGATGATGACATCTCTTTGTTGAATGTGCAGAAAAAACTTAAAGAACGTCTCGGTATCTGATTAGAAGTTCAACAATAAATCCTGTTAAAAAGACGCATAAAATCTAATTTAATTCGTAAACATTTGCAACAAAGACAATTCGAAATAGTTTGCATACTTTTGGGCGTCGTTACTCAGCCACAAATACACGCAGGCGAGAGGAAAACAGCACATCATTGCCCTCTTAAGAGAATTTGCTCATACCTTTCCTATACAAAACATACACACACACCAGGCGTCTCTTGGACTGACAGCAGTTTTTTGCGCATTTAAATTCCTACAATTGTTACAAAGTGTAAGAGAAGGTCCTTTCTTGAGTTAAACAAACGGTTGCAGTAAATTACAATTAAAGAGCCAACCAAGCGACTGAGGGGCATTTATTAAAATTAAAACAAGAAAATAAGAACTCTCGGGTAACACAGCCGTATACATACGTACATACGTAGTGCATAAAATAATTAAAAACACAAACAAATTGTCCCACACTCTCGCCTCCACATATACACATACACGCGCGTTTGCACGTGGACAAGACCTGTACTACAGGCATACATACACACAAAATATAAATTGACTAAAAGCTGCGTTGTATGTGCTCGCTCGTTGTGCACATAAAGCACCATTCGAAAGCAAAGAAAACACAATAAAAATAAACAAATAAAAGTGAGAAATGTGAAAACACTAGATGTGTGTGTGCGTTTGATGTGTTTGTGTGCATAGGGATAAATGTTCGCAATTGCATTGTGTTTCAATTCCAAGGACAGCGAACGGACCATCGTCGTACTGCTATTGCTACGGCGAAGGCAGCATTGCTCTATGTCAGTGTCAGATATCTGAATGAAGTCGTTCCGCTGCTAATCATCATCCATCCAAGCAAACAACGTTGCATGCCTCAGAGCCGAGTGAGTGCAAATTCGTGAAAGGCGGACATTGGAACGCACATCAGCCATTATGGAAGACGTATGTATGTAGCCATAACAGTAGTAGTAGCAGCAGCAGCAGCAGCAGCCGTTGCAGCAATAACAACATCCACACATAAAGAAAACACCAGCTATCAAACAAAGCAATAAAAATACAAACGAATACAAACGACCAAAAACATAAAGGACATTATTTTTATTGTCACAGCATTGCTGCATTGAAAATGCTATTGTTTGTAGCTCTCATATTTGGCATTTCAATACAAATGTCTAAATTTGTAAGTATATAAGAGAAATGTACGCTATATGTGGGTATGTATGTATATGTAACAATATGTTGTTTACAAACAAATGCATTTATTGGGGTGTAACGTTTGGGAATGTCTTGCGTGAAATCGCCACCCAAATTGAATTGGCTGTGAATCGTCAGAGCAAAGCAGGCAGTGAGAGTTTTAGTTTTTGGATTTGATAATTGCGACTGCCAACTCAAAGATTTCACAACACAGTAGCGGCTTTTATTATGGTCTTTCCATAAGAGTGTTGGCAGCAAATTCAAACACTGTGCTCAGTAGGCACACTTATTGTGGTGGTATTGTGGTCGGTGAGTTATCAGGTTTAATCCAAAATTTAATTTAAGTCCTATTGATTTTCCATGGTGTTAAACACATCTGGCGATATATGTATATATATATATATATATATATATATATATATATATATATATATATATATATATATATATATATATATATATATATATATATATATATATATATATATATATATATATATATATTAAAATCAGTAGATATTTGGATATACTTTCCACATATATATTTCGTCTGATTCCATGCATTTATATATGTGTAGTGCAATTTTGTGTAAAACTTAATTTTCTAAATTATATTGAAATCGGTTCAGATAAATTGTATTGAACCAATTTCGTATATTTGATACACCAAATACACTATGTATCTCCAATTTCAATTAAATGTGGAAGGAGTGACGGAATTTGGTCCAAAAATATATTTAGCCAAATTATAGGTGATATGATTTGTCCCACAACGCGTTTTCATTGGTATTGGCTAACAGTACACAACACAACAATTTTATAACGGGGAAGTATGTTGCTACCCCGAATTCTCTAATAGCAATAGAAATGGCACTCAACTTCAAAAGATTGCAGTTTCTATAAAATTAATAAGTCGAAGGACAAACTCTTCCTGTATCTCTGATGGAGAAACTTTGCATGTATCTATCTAAACTAAATCTCTATCTTTATATACTAAAGCCCAAGAAAAGATAAATAAACTGTTTCTAAGATATGGAACATAAAACTGATTTTATGTTTCAAGGAACGCCAGAAAAAAAAAAATAAAAAACAAAAATATAAAATTATTTTTTATTTTTGTAAAATCTGTCACATGTCATACGTAGATATTTCAGCTATAAAAAAAAGGAAAAGGTCGAATTAGTCAGAAAAGGGATACCATATTGGTCATGGAAGGAGTAAAGATTGACTTAGGTCAATTTTGGCTTATTTATACCTATATATAACCCTAAAAGTATTGCGATGTGCAAATTTTAAAGAATATCAAAAATCTATTTCCAATTGTAGCGAATAATTGTTAATCAAAATGTTAACATTTGGGGGGAGGCACCAGAAAGAGTAGGCCGATAAATTCCATATTCACATCAGAAATATTTAAATAACCCAAGTTTATCAGAAGGAGTGGTTCGTTCTTCAAAATGATGACCCTTTGTGGGAGATGATTAAGTGGGCCGATATGGTCAATTTTTTTACATGACCTTGCATTGATAATAATTGCTTGCTACTAGTTTTGTAATTGTTTTGGATATCATAAAGCGAAAATCGGTTATCGTAGTATAAAGTTTTACATTCCTGCAGTTCTGGAACAAACCAAGTATTAGGATTTTTCAATGTTAGTACAAAATCGAATGATCCTTTTTTGTTCTATGAGGAAAATCATTTTTAATTTTGTTAGGTTCATAAAAACATATTACTATGTACCCAGTTCGGACTATATCGGAAACTCCCTTCGAGAGTTGTCGTGCGCACCAGCCAACGGAAGGTCTAAAACCGTTATTTCGATGAGACACATTTTGGCCGTAGCAAATTATATCTATCCCTTGTAGTCATATGGCTGAGGCTATAAAAATAGTTTGTTACAACAACTTTTTAACACTGCTGGAGAATTTTATTTCAAGTCTTTGCTTTGATTTTTTGTAGAAATTGTCAAAAAGAAATTGTTTTCTTTCAGAAAAAATAGAAATCACGTGAATTAAGGACAAATTTCCAGACCGAACTCTTAAGGTAATGATGAATTCATTAGGGAAATCGGTGATATGTATTATTTCAATAGCATTTCATTATCATTCATTATCATTAAAATGTAAGAATTCAACCGAAGTTCATCAACCTGAAGTATAATTTTCGATGAGGCGAAGCAGAAGCTCAAATAAGTGTAAAAGCGATTTGGTCTCAAGACAACAGGGGGCAGTGGCAGCCGGGAAGAATAAATGAAATAAAAGGGACAAAAATAGCAACTCTTTAGCTCTTTTTAATCTAAGTTAAGTTCTTGCACTTTTTGGAATTTCAATGGCTTTACGCTGAGCTTTCAATATTTGCCGAATGGAATATTACGTTATGTTCAGCTCTTTACTTTCAAACCATTTCTGCTGATTTTGCTCTTTTCTTCCGTCCACTTCCTGGCGCCGGGCTACGCTACCAGTATGGTGGTAACGAGCGATGGTACGAGACACAAAAGATTTATTCACATTTAAATGCTGAGTGCTTTAACGATAGTCACTTGTGGTTTTCCAGCCAAATATAAAGAAATCACACTATCACGCTTTAATTCCATCACGAATAACTTTTTTTCTGGAAAATTCTGTTGTACTCCTGTAAACAATATAATGAGCTGTCACTGGAATAATTTTAACAGCTTTCGAACGAGTGGCTTGGATATGACAGCAGTCTGAAGTTGGTTGCAGTTTCATCATCTCACCCGTTATGTTTTTTTACAAAGGAGGTCAACAAAATAACTTTTTAAAAATTTTAGTTATCGTTGGGAGGTGGCTTTCGGCCGGGCATTAAGAACTTTCACATGTAATCAGTAGTGGAATTCTCTAAGCCATTTTTTGAGTTACCGGTAAGTTAGCGGCGAAATCAAAGTAGTCTGTAAGACCACCTATAGATACCAATGATGTCAATTTTAACTTCTTTTTTATGTCAAAATTTTAAGTTTCAAAGTTACCGATTTTTGTAGGTCACTCAAAAAAAGAGTTAGAGAATCGCACTACAGGTCTGTAAGAGCTTCAAATTGATATCCATACTACCTTTAAGTAATGACATGAGTCATCGTTGGCATTTTCATAAAATAACAAAAGACTTTGAACTGAGTGAACTCAACTTCTTTGTTCTTTTATTCGTTATACGTAAACATTTATATAAGCTCTGTTCCAGAACTGCTTGAATGCAGAAGGTAAAAGTTTTTGCCACGATAATCGTTTTTTTCCTCTATGAGATCGAAGAAAATTTCAAAACTCGTAGATTTCTGCAGATCTAAAATTTTCTGTAACAGAGCAATAATTAACATGCATTACATTCACTTCCCCGGTGACGAAAATCATCCAACCCCTTCTATACAAAAATCCTCGTAGTTATAGTTATGTATGCGTATTTAGATTCCATTTTAAAGATGTAATATTTCTCATTTAAGGTTGCCGCTCGTTTCTGTGAAGGCGGACACATTTGTTCCTTACCTAGAGAATGCTGTACACAAGGTTGTTGCCCGCCGTATCAAAGTGGACCTCGTCAATTGCCACCACCATCGGAACATGTGCTTAACCTGTTTTTCATCAGCCACTGGTTCTTCTGGTGAGTTAACTTCTTTAATTTAAATTACAGTGCATCATTTTAATTTCTGCAAAGAAAAACCTATATCTCATATAAGGCATATTGAGCATCTGGTGAAGTCCAAAACTAGTGGATATCATTAATTAAAAGTTGTTAAATTTTAAGGGCCGCGGACTAGAAAAATATTGTAATTTCTTCATATTGTTGAAAACACTCATTTCCAAACATTGAACTTATTAAGTAAATTATGCCATTACTTATAAAACTGCCTACAAGCTCCTTATTTTAATATGAACATGTCGTAGGAAATAATAACTTACGAAATTGGCCCCAATTTCGAAAAATAATAATTCTATTTTTAAAACACTTGAGTTTGTGCGTTTGTGCTCAGTTTCATCACCTTTCAATTTCATATCCAACGCCATGACTAGCATAATATGTTATTTATCGATTTAACGGTCGACCTAACAGTATTCGTCTGTCGGTATGTCTGTCCGTTCGTCCGTCTGTCTGTCTGTCTGCCGAAGGGGTTATCTTATTTGGTTCAAACTTGGTATATCGTAATATTTTTGTCAAACGAGTTCGGAGATGGAATTATCGGTCCACTCTTTCTGGTACCTCCCCCACAAAAGGTCGAAATTTTCAAAAAATATATTTTTTGCACAGAAAGAGAAAGGATGATCCGAATTTACTCCAACTTTGCAAATCCTAATATTTGTGTCAGTGCTATGTCAGTCGAGAAAATGGACAATATCGGTCGACTCCATAAAGTACCTCCCCCACAAAGGGTTAACATTTTGAATAATTACAACTCCTATAAAATGAGATGTAAGAGTGCGATTGTCTTCAAATTTCACACATCCCAATATTTATGTTAACCCAAGGTCTGGTGTTAAGGTGGAACTAGTGTGACCAGATCTAAAATAGTGTTGCAGCTAAAACAGCATAAAAATAATGCTAAAAAATGCCAAACAAAAAAAATTAAAATGCCAAAAATAATGCAAAATATAAATACCTTTTTGTAAACCCTGCAACACTATGTGCTGGGGGTATTATAAGTTTGATTGAGCCAAAAATAATGTAACTCTTCGAAATTTTGGCTTCCCACATAGGAAAGTATATATTGATCTTCCACTCTCACTAAGCTGAGCCTATGTTAATTTGCAATCACGCTACAGGTCACAATTATAGACCAATCGACGCGGAATTTAGCATGGGGCTAGATCTTAGGACTGGGTAGAAGCTTTCCAATTTGGATGGTCATCGAATAATATCGGGTGAAATAGACCATAAGTATTGTGTTAAAAAAAAAAAAAAACAAATTTCTCAATCAACCGCAAATATTCTTAAACCCGGTGAAATTACAAATAGACGAAAAGGTCAATTCTGACCGTTTGGCAGATGCCGATAGTGAAGATATATATACGGATATATATAGCGACATATATTGGCTAGAATGCATACATCTCAAAAAAAGCTGGACTGATTTTGCCAAATCTTGTCAATTCAGAATGCCCTCTTGACAGGAAAGAAAAAAATCTAGACAAAAACGCATGAAAATATTCCAATAAAGATGATAATATTGATTTTGTGATACTTTCTTTTTTTCCATTTTGTCACATTTTTGTCGCATGCGATATTTTCATTATACCCTACACCACAAGGTGGTCAGGGTATTATGTCTTTGTGCATTTGTGCATTTGTTTGTAACAGGCAGAAGGAAACGAGATAGACCCATAGTTCCTTTTGATGATCTGCATAGAATCACATTCTGAGTCGATTTATGCATGTCCGCCAGTCCGTCTGTCTGTCCGTCCGTCTGTCCATGTATTTTTGTAAACAAAGTACAGGTCGCATTTATTGCCCGATCCAGATGACATTTTGCAAAGATCTTTTGTTTGGCATAAGGACGAACCCTATTGAAATTGGAGATAATCGGTCAAAATTTAGATAGCTCCCATATATATCTTCGTCCGATTTGCCTTTTATTGTGCACCAATCGTGTAATACCAGCCCGAATAGTATGGAATTTTGCATATACACCCAAATTAGGCCTGAAAATCTGTATGCCAAATTTGGTGAAGATCGGTTCAGATATAGCTATAGCTTCCATATAAATTATTCATCCGATTTGTTATATTTGTTGCCCACAGCCGTAATATGCACTCCGTAACAACGATATTCAGGGAAATATTGTGCACCAAATGGGCAATACAATTCCGAATTTAAAAGATACAAATGCTTCGGCATATTTAGTCCTTTGAACTTTAAATTGTAATTATAATCATAGCGTGTATTATTGAATTCTCCCATAAAAACTTTTAATTGTTATGTGGAGCTCTACTTAATTAGCAAAGTGGTGTAGGGTATCATAAAGTCGGCCCCGCCCGACTTTAAGGCTTTCTTTACTGGTTTTTACTTACAATATTGAATTTAACATTTTGTAATATTTTTCCTCCTTACAACACTATATAGTTAGGATATTACATACAGGGCACATTTATGTGCCGATCCTCACGAAATGTTGGATGGAGGTGGGGTAATGTCAGAATAGAAGTCTGATGTGTTTGGAGATGATCGCAAAATATTTGGGGTTCAAATGGACCAAAAACTGAAAGTTTTATGATACGTCATAATTATCGCCCGATCCTCAGGAAATTTTATGTGGGGGTTCGGTATTGGCCCTGCCAAGCATTTTGGATGGCATAACAGTTAGCGGAAAAGTGGGTCGCAATTTTTGTGGGAAAAATACCAAAATGTCTATTCCACCTAAATTTTGAAAGTGAATTCCAGGCTTCCACTTCTGATATTTTTAAAACAATTCATATAGAGAAAACTTAATTTATTGTTCTGAATAGCCATTGACATGACTCTCTTTTCCTTAGCTTTAAATTAGGGCAAATTCTATAAGAATATGCATTATTTCCTTCCAAACCATGAAATTTTATAGAGATGACAGGTTTTTGAAAAAAATGTTTAAAAACATCTGTTTTTAAATTTAATATGCTTTTATTAAAATGTTTTAAGTCCTGCTACTTGAAAATTAGAATTAACCGAATGATAATTAGAATTCATAGTGTATAATAACATTCTATTTCTAATTTCTTCTTTTATAAGGTTCATGCCACTGAAACCCCTTCCAACTTCTGCGTTACTAAAATGTAAAACTATACACTTCATAACAAAAGAAGACAATTCCTTGAACGGGTTCTCATTTAAAGCATTTTTAAATTCTTATATACATATTCAAAACTATATCGTTGAGTTTATGTTTGTCCATTCATATGTACTTAGATTTTGCCATTGCTTTCTAAAATAGTAATTTCGTTCAAAATGTTCATGTAATTTAATTTATTAAATTTAAAAAAAAATGGATTTATAAGAAAGTACTAAAATAGAAGAACACTAAACTAATAATTTCAAAAAGCTAAGAAAATGCTAAATTTAGCTGCAAAAATGCTAAAAAATGGCCACACTGGATGGGATATGTTCCACTCCTTCTGGTACCTCCCCCAAAACCAAACTACTTGTTGCACTGATTTTGAATAAATAATTAAAAACCGCAAAAACTGAATGAAAGGTCAAAATTTCAAAATCATGTTCTTTATATCTTTAAAGGTTTATTTCGCTACAAAAACAATAGATTTTGTCGATGCATACGTTGCAATAAGCATTTTGAAAACACCGGAATTTGAATATTTTCTGAAGACTTTTTTATGGTTGGAATGAATATACACATAAACAAATAAAGTTGACATATTAGGCCAAAAAGTAAAAAAAAAATAAAATTATATATTATATGTAGAAAACTTAATGTATACATGCAGTTTGGCTCCAGTTTTAAAGGGGTGTTGTATTTTACACTATTTTCTAGCGAATGCTTGAAATGTTGAGAGATTTGGACCTACGGCTAACGACTATACATTGAGAGGAATCAGTCTGGACGACATTGAGTTAACAACAGATGTTATAAGAAGGCTGTCCTTAAAATTCGTAACATTTTATGCGTAATATGTCCAAACTAAACATTTTTCGACATAGTCTTCTTTTACATCAAGGGCTAGTAACATACTATATCTAGATCTACACTGTATTTCGAAAAACAAACCAAATCTGGAAAAATATAATTTTTGCACAAATGCGATTCATACATGGTAGAAAAATATAGGTAGTCGCATCGCCACGGATGCTTGGACAATGAACTGTCAAACTAATTTTGGAATTGAAAATGTTGAATGGAACATTATATAAATTTGTAAAAATTGCTCAAAACGCGAATTACAATAACCTCCAAATGACGTGGTATAAGAAAACATATTAAAATGTTCTTATATTTGCAAAAAAAAACGTTTGAAATGTTTTGACATTTCAATGTTACCAAGCGTTGATGCATCTACCTGTATTCTTTTACCATTCGATTTAGCCTAAGAAAGTATAAGTGGTATGTAATTTCGAGTGTTATGAGAAGGAATATTAAAATTCAATTCACCGGTTAGAAACTGAGCTCTAAACATTAAACGTCTCTTTTCCAGTGTCGCTAGATCAATAAGTTTTAGGCGATCTTCGTGTACAAAATACTTTGTACATACTTTTGAGTGCGGTCGAGGCGTTGGGGAAATCTAGCTTCTGACCACTTGAATGAAATGACAAGCAGTCCTGCAATGTTCTCCATTCAATTTTAGAATAGACTAGCTGTCCCAGTCCTCGTTGCCGGCAGTATAGTTTTTAATGCATAGTTTTTAAATCATAACAATTCTCAGATCTGGCTTACATAAGTGGCACAATTTTTAGTATTAATGATGACTCGACTAAATAGATATAAATACGCATCGCGTATCAATACACGTTTATGTACCGGGCGATTTATATTGTTTCAAAAAACCTGATCCTATTTTTCAGCCCGAGGTTTTAATTTGAGAGTTGAAAATCCTAAATAATATAGCACATATATTAAAAAGTATACATCAAATGTTTACAATAGCTCCATGTAAGATGGTCTAGTGTGTTTAGGCACACATTTT